CATTTATTTATGGTTTTATGACTCAATTGTGTACCCCTAAACCCTCTAGTTTAGTCTTGCCCATTTGTTTTTTAATTTGATATGCCTTTTAGGTCTCTTTTAATCTATGGTCTCCTCCCTCTATCTCTTTCTTTTCTTTCTCTGGTGACGAATTTGGGTCATTTGGCCTGTCAAGTTTCCTATAGTCAGATTTGCTGACTTCTTAGTCATGGTACAGTTCAATGTGTTCCTCTGTCTTCTGAATTTCCTGCAAATTGGGAGCTGAATCTAAAGGCTTGACCTGACACAGGTCTGATTCCTTTAACAAGGTTAAGATGGTGTTATGTCTTGTGTTGAAGCAGATGCTCAGTGTCTATAATCCTTAATTCATTGGGATTTACAAAATAGTAATATTTTAATTCTACATTTTCTTTTAATTATCACTTGGGATAATTTTATCAAGAGACACTTCCCCTCATCTATTATTCTGTTACCCAGTACTGTAATTCATAGAGGATAGGTAGGAAAAGGTTTGATTATTTCCTTCTTCTACCCAATTTGCAAGATGACAATTGGATCATTGTTTCCTCAGAAGGTGACCAATTAATATTTCTTAAATATATGCCATAAACTCTTGAATTTGTTTATATTTATATTTGATGAGTTTTAGTCTATCATAAAACTCAAATCTTTGGCCAGTGGAAAACTCTTCAAGGTGCTTCCTGAGTTCTAGTAGTCTTTGACAGCTTCCTTCTAACTGCATGTCAAGATATACCAAACACATCATAAACATTTCCTGCCTCAGACCTGGAATTAGTCATTTCTCCAAGAAATACTAGTTTAGTTCAAGGGGATATGTCATTTGAAGATCAAATCCGAATGCTATTCGGTTGACTTTTGTTTTTAAGTCTTTTTAATGGAAAGAGCCGGGATAAACAATTACCCCATGAGTTCACACTGATATTTCTAATTCAGATTCATATCTACAGAATGTTTACTTAACATCTTCTATTATTGGAGTAGTTCCTTTCTTTCACCAGAAAATCCTTTAAGGCAGGGGGGATGGTAGAATTAGAATATCCCATAATTAGCATTTGCTTTTTTAAACTTTACATATACAACTTTATCAGGATAGTAATATTCATACTATAACTGACATTATTGTTACTGAAAGTAGATAAAATGGTTTTTTTTTTTGCATATGCTGATCATCTCCCCATTTTTTAATAGTTGTAGTGTATTCATACTTTGAATCATATACTAGAGTCTCTACCTTTTAACCCTCATTTATTCTTTTATCTGCAAGTAACTATATATCTAAAATTTGCCAGCAATACCTGTCTGAAAATTGTTCCTTAGTAGACTCCTTAGGAAGGTCTCCTGGGAATAATATTCTCAGAGTCTTAACATGTTATTAGCAGTTTGTGAATTCCTGGATAAAAAAATCCTTAGTTCACATTTTCTCTCCTTGAATATCTTAAATACATTACTCTAATTTCTTCTGGCAAAAAGCTTTGCTGTCAAAAAAAAAATCTGAGGATAATTTAATTTGATTTCCCTTGTAAATTATATGCTCCTTTTTGCCTAGATATCTAATTTTTTCCCCTTTTCTTTTAAATACAATATTTTTTTTCCTAGAATATCTTGTTTTTTGGTCATTCTGGGTCAATATTCTCAGGTACATGGTATGCTTTTTTCAACATATAGTTCAAATCATCTTTTATATTAGGAAAACTTTATTGTATTACAGTTTTTGGTATTTTCTTTGTTCTCTTGAGATTTTTCTGTTCCCTTGGTTACTTTTTCGGGGTCTCCTAATAGTTGTATATTGGATCCTCTTTGCCTATCTTCCAGTTAACTCTTTTTTTAATGTAAATTCCAATTGTTTGGATTTCATCATAATGCATAAGCAGTCTGGGCAAGTGGGCTTATTTCTAAACTGATTTGGGGGTAATGGCTGACCATGGCTTTTTATATTACTTTCTTTGTATTGAGGGGGCATGGAGAATCTGAGCTGTAATCCCCAAAGAACAGTGTGTATTTCCAGTAGAATAATAGGCCAGTAGAAAAGACAGTTTGGTGTCCCGAGACTCATTGTCCCTCAGATCATACGGCCTAAAGATCTGAGATTGGTACTGGAGGTGAATCCTCCACTTTTTATGGAATTCAAAATCCTTTCTTTGGTTCTTCTAATTACTAAAGCCCATTAGGCACGGAAAGCTTCACTTTCTTCAAGCATATAAATTTAAGGAAATTTCATATATTTGTTTCCCTATAGAACCTAAAATAACAACGATGAGAAGGACTCTTCATGCAGGGGGAATGATAGGAGCAAATGTGTGGGAGCCGGTCTGAGCAAAAATGGTTTATGGCTCAATAGGATAATTTTTAATGGAGAAGGGATAAAATAATTATCTTCAGCATCCTGTGTTCTGTGTGGTTCAAAGAAAAACCACTCATTATAATAGTGTGAAGTTGCTGACCCATATGACTTGGACTTTTGTTTCTGAATTACAAATTTAGTGGCTTAAACAATATAGATTTATTCTCTTACAGTTTTGGAGGTCAGAAGTCTAAAATGGGTTAAGATCAAGTGTTGGCAGGGTTCCTTCTGAGGCTAGGGGAGGAATTTGCTTCCATGCCTTTTTAGCTTTAGGTGGCCCTTGGTATTTCTTTGCTTATGGCTTTTTCTTTCCATCATCAAACTGTATCATTCCAGTCTCTGCCTCATCACATTGCTTTCTCTCTGCCCCCAAATCTTCCTTTGCGTTTTTGTTATAGGGACACTTGTGATTACATATAGGGTCCACCCAGATAATCCAGGATATTCTCCTTATTTCATAATCCTTAACTTAATCACATCTGCAAAGTCCCTTTTGCCATATAATGTAAGATTCATAGGTTTTGGGGATTTGGGCATGGATATATTTGGGCAGCCACTATTTAGCCTAACATATGCATAATCTTTTTATACCAAAGAATCTCTAATGACAGAGGGAAGTAAACTCATTTCCATGTTGGTGATTGAGTTGCAGCTCAAAACAGTCTCCTGGAAGCCTGTGGTTTCTTTGAAGACTAGCATTTTACCTTAAAGGTGTTTGAATTTTGTAGGATACTCTACACATATGCTTGCTAGCCTAATTTCCTGCAACAAAAGAAAAATTGGTCTGGGAAGATGGGCCACGGTGCTTCCATGGCTGTAAGAAGTCTGGAATACTGCCTTACACCCTGGTAATAACTGTATTTTATTTGGATGGCATGACATGACATCACAGAAAAGAGTGTGAATTAAAAGGTGTCATTAGCTTCCACTACAATTGATTCAGGTCTAGCTTGATAATCTGGAGGGAGAGGATCCCCAATAGATTCTGATTTTCTCTTGCTCAGAATCCCCAATCATGCCTGAGTCCCATGAGTGAGGCAGGACGTCTCAGTGGGGTGTGAGGTAAAGACAGCAAGTCATACTTGTCCTTCAATGAGAGTGAGTCCCAGGAGATCATGGATACCATCTACTCTACAGTGTTGGGTCAGGAGCTGGTTCTCATGGAATGCTCATCTGTGGATTGAGATTTAGAGTGGACCTTCCTTGTTTTCCTGACCCAGGATCCATGGATGATCTCTCTTTCCTGTCACAGGTCTTATCATGCACAGAGTCAGCACTCTAGGCCTGATTTCTACTAATGGAAGAGGGAGGAGCCCCCCGCCCCCATCCTGCAGCTCTCTGCATGACAGGCCATGCATAGTTATTATGCCCACTTTCTTTGAATCCTTCCTCTCCTTCTACCCCCAACCCCTTCTGCTCTGTAACTGCTCAGGGTCCCAGGACAGTTGAAATTGGGCCAGCTGGGGTGCTATTTTTAACTTCTTCACATAGCACAGCTGAGGACTTGGCCCCCACACAGTTGCATCCACCCACTGTTTCTTCCTCTCGGAGGATGCAGACAGAAAACCAATGCCTGTGCCTGGAGTGGAGGGGGCATGGGAGGCAGGAGGCCCAGTTGTTTTCTCACAACCTCCTGGCTCACCCAGCTCTGCTTACTGCAGTGTGTAGTATGGCAATACGACAGTTCATTAAATGTGGCATTCATGTGTGTGGCACACTGCTTTGAGCCTGTTTTATGCTATGATAAAGACTACATCTGTCAGGCTATATTGGCTCATGTTGGGGTCAGGAAGAGAATTATATTGCCCAGAATTGCTCTCTCCTTTCCTCTTACTAGAGGAAGACGTCTCTTCCCTTCCTCCAGAGCCAGCTGAGAGGCCCTCTCTCTGAGGGACAGAGTGCACAGAAATCTATCTACCCACTGGGTGGATGGATATCCCAGTATCAGGAAAAAGATGGGTCAACTTCAAATTATTTCACTCTTTAAGGGACTTGCCCTAGAATGTCAGAGAATCTCTGTGACCAGTTAACAAACTGACACATTATATCTATATGTCTGTGTACACACACATATATACATATACACAAATACTATATGTGATATAATGTATAATACATATTATAATATTACACATATTTGTGTGTAATACATGTATATGAAGAATTTTTTTGACTGATTTTAGTTTTGAAACTTTTCACCAGGCATTTTTGTTTCAGTTAATCACGTTTCTATTGCAGCCTGGGGACTTTTTAAAACATTTCTAGAACCCTCTATCTTGCTCCCAAAGGCTTAAGCATTATTTGATAATTAGACTTCACAATTATGTTATACATTTTGGAGAGAAGTGTGGGTTGGGGGAGGGTGGGAGGAAGAAAGTTGTGTGTGTTAGTTAATGTGGGAGGAATGAGGGTTATTATCTGGGGATTGGAGGAATGCTTATGAGAGAAAGAAGTTCACTCTGTCAAGATTGTGTTGGTTGCCAGTTCTCTGTGAAACCCTCACTTAGACACAGAGAAGGGTGGGGGTAGGGGGACACTGGAAACTTTCTCGCCTTCCCTAATTAAAATGATGCCAGAAAACAAGATCCACATAGAGGCCAGTTACATGCCACTTAAAAAGAAATATGCTTCATTACAGTTTCTCTTCATTTCCTGGAACTCACAATGGGAACATGAGAAAGGAAGATTTGTTGAAATCCTGGGAAGAGCATTTTGGTACTCACCCACCTGTTAACTTGGTATCACAATAAATCACTCACTGCTAAAATGACAGGTTTTCTCTCTTTCTTTCTGTCTTGTGTTCACATACCTTCTGCCTCTCCAAGTCCACACATTCACGTTAGCAAAATGCACTACCCTGTACTCTTGAAGTCTATTCCTTTGGCTCATCTTCTAGAGGAAACCATCACCTTTTCCTCTTCAAAAGGTACATTTTCCCTGTGTTTTCATTTTATGGAAATTATTGTGTTTTCTTCTTTTTTAAGGGGAAAATTCTGTTTTGTTGATTGGATCTGATTTCAACAAGGTTGGGTATGGGGCTGATTTTAAAAGTGAGAGAGAAAACGAGAGGAGGGACTGTGTGTTGCACTGTATATTGTGTGTGTAAGTACACACAGAGGGCCTAAGCATTCTTGGGCAAGAATTACCCTCAGGCAGAATATTAAAGTAGATGAAGATGTGTGCTAAGGACCACTTTTTTCTTCATCACTTTTATTCCAAGTCCAAGATGTCAGAGGATCATAGTACTTAAACCAAGCTATAGTGGAATTCCAGGCAATACCAGAAAATGGGAAAAGCTTTTCTTGTTTGCTTGTTTACCTGCAATTTATTATTATTATTAGCTTTTCATTGGGAGGAAGGGTGAGAGAAATTACTGAATTTAAGGGTTCTTCTAGAATCACATTACTTATGGTACTGCTTGAGGTTAGTCATGCTAAATGGTTTTTCTCTTGGTCAGGGCAATAAGGTCAGGGTTTCCCAGTTTAAAGACATAGGAGTTGTGACTGTGATGGAGATGAGTGAACTCATCTGAGTGTTAGACAACTGGGAGTGAAGGACTGTGCAAACAGGGGACCACACCACCCAACCTCAGTCATTGCTGTTGGGCAGGAATGTGAGCCCAGTGCTGTCAGACCATTGATTTTTTTTTTTTTTTTCTGGATTATTGTGTGAAGTCTCATGGTTTAAAAGTGCTGATCACTCTTCAAATTAAGGGGGGGGGGAACACCCTACCAGACAAATAAAACAGATCAGATTTCTGGATGTCTCTGCCCCAGAACAAAGAGGATTAAGAGCATTATGGTCCATTAACATGACACATGACCTTGGAAAGGTTTGCTTACTCAATTTTAAACTAAATGATTGGGGTAGATGAGCTTCACAAGTTTTTCTTCCTTAGATCCTTCCAGATTTTTTAACTCTTGAGTTCTGTGTTCTAACCTTCAAGATCCCTTCATCTCCTACTACTTCATGAAGAACTGGGTAGATGCCCAAAAGAAGAAATGAGGAGAAGAAACATATAGATGAGGGTCAGAATGGATTAGGTAACAGGAGATATTGCCTGCTCACTTGCCACTACATGCTTTTGCAGAAAAGCCTTCCTTTGAGTTATTTATGATAGCCATCTTTCCCTCCCCTTAACACCCATAGTCCTTTTCCCACCCTCTCCTTCAATAAGTAAGTTCATTCAGTGTATTTATTAGTTGCCTGCCTGGGGCCATTAGTATATACCCTTATGGCTCCCATCACTTTCCCACTTGTATTGTAGTTATTTGAATAAAAGGATGGAGAAAACTTTTTTCCCCAAATTCCCAGGATACCAGGGAAGGAAGACTGGCCTGTAGGTTGTGCTAGCTATGAGAGAAGCAAGGTGGGCTTACACTTCACAGATGAATGTACATGGTGAGGCAGGTCATCTTTTAGAAAGCCCAGATTTTGGGAACCAGAGGAGAATGAGGTAAAGGGCCACCAAGATGGCAGAAAACTGTATGTGTGTGATGTCACCCCCTCCACTCATCTCAGTTCTTCCACAAAGTTACCAAAATCATGAGATACTGGTGCCCAATCATATCAGCAGACTTAAATGCATCAGCAGAGAAAGAAGGCCAGGAATTTGCAGAAGTCATAGGGCAAACTATGGATTCCAAGAAGTTATGATATTGTCTGAACCAATTTTGAGTTCGGGTGAGCCCCCTAGGTAACATTTGGGTATACGTGGGTACATTCAGGCATGTTATCACCTTGGTTAAATTGTGAGCTTTTTCAGAACAAGATCTTTATTAAAGTTGTTTCTGTAGGTTAAATGCAGTCAACACAGTGCTTTTGCACACAGCAGATTCTAGTAAATACTTGCTGACTGACTGAATGACCAGTCGAATGAATGAATGAGTAGAGGAGAGAGCTGTGAACTCCAGTCTTTGAACGTGAATGCAGGCCTTGCATGGATAGACAGACAAGAAATAAAGCAATCTGGAAAGGGTTAATTTCTGCCTTCAGCATTCACAGGAAGGATAATGTATGCTGGGGAGGGAAAGCATTAGTCTTTCCCTTTTGAAACCCCCGAAAAATTTGTCTGAAGCATGTATTTAAATGGGCGGTATACAGGTGTTTTCAGAGCTGCAGCAGCCCCGGAGAAGGCCTCAGGGCAAACCAGAGAAGACGATACTTGGTAACGAGAAACACTCCTCAGCTACTCTGCATGCTTCAGTGGGAAAATGCAAATCAACTCATTTCCGCTTTTGAGGACAACTTCAGATAAAGGGGTCCCCGGGCAAAGTAACCCCTTCAATGTGCCTGGCTGTCTTTCCCCATTGCTATCTTTTCCTGCACTACCTGCTGTGCGAGCTGTAGGGGGTGGGGAGGGGGCTGTGGATTGGCGGCACAGGAGAGGAGAGAGGAGATGCATAGTAATGAGAAGCTGAGGGAGGAGAGAGAAGGAAGGGGGCTTTCGTGGGTGGGTGCAACTTTGTGTAAAAGGCCTTGAACTAGGAGGTGGAATTAACTCCAGTTCTGTCTCTGTGGCCACCAGCTGAGGGTGACCTTGGGCAAGAGGTGGGATTCACAGACAGTCACTCTCAAGTGAATGTTGAAATCATTCCAATTTCATCATCTAGGTTTTTTTCTTGTTTTGTTTTTTTGTTTTTTCCCCCCACATTGAGAAACTGAGATCTGAGGTATCAATAGGGAGTAAGTAGAAGGCAAGGATTAAAATACAGGTCCCTGGCTGCCAAAACAGAGTCCCTCCACCCATCCGCAGTGTCATGCTAAGAGGTGCCTGGATCAACAGGCGTTGGTTTCCATGTTTCATAATTTGGATGTGAATGTTTGGTTGTGTCTCAGGGCTCAGTTAAGATTTTAAAGATCTGAATAACTCAAAAAATTGTGGTGACCTTCCCTCCTCCCAATTTAGGTGAATGAAAATAAAAACCAGGCAAAACTGCAATTGAATTACAATAAAGTAGAATAGAGAATGATTCTTTTCCATGATGACTACTCTAATAAATTCCAAATAGCAAATTTGACTTAAAATTTTGATTTTGGGTTCTCCTGTTTCACCAGTGTGTCTCAGGCACATGCCTTTTTTTTTTTTTTTTTTTTTTTTTTTTGTTATTGGGAAATCCTGTGTATGGATCTCGAGTGTCATGAGATACCTAATTTTGAATGAGTGCATGAGAGGGTTGTGTGAACAGACATTTGGGCAATTGCTATTTTTGTGTTTATGTGGTTTTCTAAGGTATTAAATGCATATGGGTTTTCTGGGTGAATATGTATGTATACATATGCAGTTTTCTCTTTCTATGGAGTGAGGCAACCTAATTGCTAAAATTGGTAGGCTCTAGTTTGCTAAATGAGATGACATTTGTCAAAGAGTCTTTCACATGACCTGTATTCAATGCACGGTTACTTTTTCCTCACCAAATAAAAGACAGAACTACTCCAAATGAATCCCTATCTAAACTTGAAGTAGTCTGAGTAAGAAAAGCATCTGGGACCTGAATTTTTAGAGAAAGTTGTGTATCATAGGAGTCAAAGATAGGGCAGGTCAGTTTCAGACATTATAGATTTTCATAATTTGCTTTTTATGGGTAGAGGCAAGAGTCAATCAGCAAAGAGTTAACTGTAGTTTTTCTGTGTGTACATATTAGCAACTTATGTGTAAGATACATCTATATATCTCTACCTATATCTCTATATCTGTCTATATAGACACACATACATACATACATACATACATACATACATTGCTTCATATTGGTGGCCTTTGGTTTTGGTTTGGTTTGGCTCTCCAGGAGCAGGAGGTAAGAGGGTTCCTGCACATCTTCGTCTGTAATCCATAACCTGGAGTCAATATAAGCCCTGCTTGATTCCTATTTGCTCTAGAGACTCCTCTGGAAAGAAGTTTCTGCATGTTAGCGTGAGATACTCATTCAAAACAAAGTCTGAAGTTATATTCCCAGTGATCATCACAAGAGTGGGAGGAATTCACTGTAGGGTACCCTACATTTTTTCCCCCAAGTAGCTTTCTCATCTGTCCTGCTAGGTTTGTCTCAGAAAAGAGTATTTTTTTTTTAAGATTTTATTTATTTATTTGACAGAGAAAAACACTGAGAGAGGGAATGTAAGCAGGGGGAGTGGGAGAGGGAGAAGCAGGCTTCCCGCTGAGCAGGGAGCCAGATGCGGAGCTCGATCCCAGGACCCTGGGATCATGACTAGATCGGAAGGCAGACACCTAACGACTGAGGCACCCAGACACCCCAGGAAAGATGATCTTTTCTATGCTAGTGTTTGTTGAGTCTTTAATGTAGGCCACTGGTTCTCAGGGGTGGCAGTTTTGCATACCATATTTACCTTCCCTTTCCAAAGGGTATTTGGGAATACTTGGAGACAATTTTGGTTACCAAAACCAGGAGAGGAGGAGTGCTCTGGACATCTCGTGGCTAGAAGCAGAGATGCTGCTAGAGCACAATGCACACACTTTCTCCCGCCCAACAAAAATTAGCTGCCCCCAAATGTCAGTCATACTGAAGTTGAGAAACCCTGGTGAATGCCAAGCTGTCTGTTCCTTCATGACAGGCAAGTTTCCATTAACTTCTCACAGATCCAGTGGGCTAGGTACCGCTGTCCTCCGCCTTTGAAAGTGAAAGGGTAATATGGCATGGAGAGAAGAAATGACATGACCGAGGCCACTAAGG